ACCATTTCGTGGGAACCCTTCAAAGCCTATAAATAGGTGTTCCAATTGCAATGAAAAACACTCTTGAGAAAATTAAGAAATCCACCCCAAAATTATTCTCCCAAATTATCACATAATCAATCCTATATCTATTTTCACTTGTTCTTTGTGAAAGATACACTTTGCTTTTGGTGTTCTTCACACAAAGGCTTGTTCAATCCTACAAACTATTTGCCGGAACTCCTCAAAAGCATTGGAAAGGGGGCAAATAACGTTTGAGAATAGCGTTATCATTTTCGTGTTCAAACCTCTAATTATATCCATATTCTTTTCCTCTTTGGTATTACCAATTTTCTTCTCTTCATTGTTTTAAATTTCCAACAAACTCAAACGTTATTTGCATTTACTGCAATGGAGTCGGAATCTACCATTGCTACTATCAAAATGATGAATCAAGATCTGGTATGTTTGGATAGATTCAATGGTGCAAACTTTACAAGATGGCAAGACAAACTCAAGTTTCTTCTAACGGCGTTGAAGATCTTCTATGTGCTTGATTCAAAATTGGAACCCATTCTCGATGCAACTGACAAGGACACCGAAGAAATTCGCATAGAAAGGAAGAAACGAGAAGAAGATGAATTGATATGCCGTGGGCACATTCTAAATGCATTGTTCGATCGACTATATGATCTCTACACAAACACTACTTCGGCTAAAGAAATCTAGTATGCATTAAAAAGCAAATACAAAACCGAGGAAGAAGGTACTAAAAAGTTTATAATATCTAAATGTTTTGATTTTAAAATTTTAGACAATATACATTTATTGCCTCAAGTACATGCGTTACAAATAATTGTGAACAAATTGAAAGTGGTAAAAATTGAACTTTCCGAAACTTTTCAAGTGGGAGCAATTATTGCTAAACTCCCTGGTTCTTGGAGAGGATATAGGAAGAAAGTTCTTCACAATTCCGAAGATTTTTCTTTAGAAGACATACAGAAACATCTACGCATTGAGGAAGAATCAAGGGTAAGAGATAAGATTGAAAATTCTTATGATGGCTCTTCGAAAGCCAATGTTGTGGACAATGTGGACAACTCCAACAAGTTCAAAAAGAAAGGGAAATTTCTTGGTCCTAGAAAGGATCAAGGAAAATTTAAAAACAAAGCCAAAGGACCGTGCTATGTTTATGGGAAACCGGGACACTATGCTAAAGATTGCAGGCATAGGAAACAATATAAGAAGGAAGGACAAGTGAACTCTGTTGATGAAATTATTGCAACAGTGAGTGAAATTAATGCAATCCAAGGCAAAGTTCCGAGCTGGTGGTACGATACATGCGCTACAATCCATGTATGTTATGATAATTTTCTCTTCAAAACTTATCATGACATTGAAGACAACCAAGAAATGCAAATGGGAAATGAAGGAAGATCAAAGGTGGTCGGTAAAGGAAATGTTGAACTCCTTTTCACTTCGGGAAAGAAGATTACTTTGACCAATGTCCTGCATGTACCAAAAATGAATAGGAACTTAGCAAGTGGTGTACTATTGGGAAAACCCGGGATTAAATATGTCTTTGAATTTGGAAAACTTGTATTAATCCATAGTGGACATTTTGTTGGAAAGGGCTATTCCACCGAAGGAATGGTCAAGCTATGTACTGTTAAGGATAACTCAAATAAAATTAAAGCTTTTGCGTATGTTTGGCATGGTAGATTAGCACATATAGGATTTAGTACTATGAAAAGAATGATTAAATGTGGATTAATACAATGTGATATTGATAACTTAGAAAAATGTGAAATATGTGTTAAATTAAAAATGATTAAGAAGCCATTTCATAGCATAGAAAAAACAACAAAATTACTTGAACTTGTTCATTCCGACATTTGTGAATTGAATGGAATATTAATTAGAGGCGATAATAGATATTTTATTACTTTTATTGATGATTGTTCTAGGTATACTTACGTATACTTACTTAAACATAAGGATGAAGCCTTTAGTGCCTTTAAGACTTACAAGAATGAAGTTGAAAATCAATTAGGAAGAAAATTAAAGACTTTAAGAAGTGATAGAGGTGGAGAGTATTTTTCAAATGAATTTAACATATTTTGTGAACAAAATGAAATAATACATCAATCTTCTGCACTTAGAACACCAGAACAAAATGGATTAGCAGAAAGAAAGAATAGAACTTATTTGGAAATGATAAATGCTATGTTATTAAATTCTGAATTACCTTTTAACTTATGGGGTGAAGCATTACTTTGTGCTTGTCATATAACAAATAGAATTCCTATGAAAAAGAATAAAATTTCCCTATATGAACTTTGGAAAGATAGAAAACCAAATATTAATTATTTTAAAGTGTGGGGATGCCTTGCATATTATAAAAATATGGATTCAAAGAGAACCAAGTTAGGTCCTAGAGGTATCAAATGTGCCTTTGTAGGATATGTCCTTAATAGCAAAGCCTATAGGTTATTAAATCTCGAATCGAATGTTATAATATAGTCAAGAGATGTGGAATTCTTCGAGAATGTGATGGTAGCTAGGAAATCTGAAAATAGTAAGGATATTCCAACCTTTAAAAGCTCACCAAAAGAGACATCCATAAAGGATGTTGACTTTGAACCTCGAAGAAGCAAAAGAACAAGAAAGGAAAAGAACTTAGGATCTAATGAAATAGATTCTCAACTTATTTCCTTTTACTTAGTAGAAGGAGATAGGAAGGATGTTGTAAGAACAATTCCTTTTGTTCTTCAAGTGGAAAGTGATCCTAAGACTTATAAGGACGCAATGCAATCTAGAGATTATATATTCTGGAAAGAAGCTATAAATAATGAAATGGATTTTATTATTTCAAATAACACTTGGGAAATAGTTGACCTACCAGCAGGTTCGAAAGCTATTGGTTGTAAATGGGTATTTAGAAAGAACTATAATTCTAATGGATCGCTTCATACTTATAAGGCTAGATTGGTAGCTAAAGGGTATCGTCAAAGGGAAGGAATTGATTACTTTAACATATATGCACCCGTGGCAAGGATAACCTCAATAAGGATTTTATTTGTACTAGCATCTATATATGATTTATATGTTCATCAAATGGACGTAAAAACGACATTTTTAAATGGAGATCTCGAAGAGGAGATCTATATGGAACAATCAGAAGGGTTTGTTCTACTGGGAAATGAATATAAGGTGTGCAAATTAATTAAATCTTTATATGAATTAAAGCAAGCCCCCAAAAAGTGGCATGAGAAATTTGAGTCTAAAATAATGTCAAATGGATTTATTCACAATTCAGTAGATAAATGAATCTACGCAAAAGTGAATGGTGATATAATCACATTAGTGTGTCTATATGTTGATGATATGCTAATCATTAGTAACAATATAGATGGAATCAAAGAAACAAAACAATTTATATCCTCTACTTTCAAAATGAAAGATCTTGGAGAAGTAGATGCTATCCTTGGAATCAAAGTAAAGAAGGATAGTGGGGGTTTTACATTTAGTCAATCACATTATGTTGATAATGTGATAAA